CCCAATGGGCGAAGGGACTTTTGGCTGGTTCTTCGAACGGGATTTTCGGACTGACATGTCCCTTCAGCTACGATTCTTTCGTCGCATGGTAGAACGTTGCTCCTTTATCGATGCTGAGATTCCTCGAGCGTGTTACGAGCATGCCACATGCTCGCGTGGAAGCACGTGTTCGTCGCGTTCGGTGATGGAAGGAACGCGCGCGTGCATCCGTGCACGCGCGGCTCGCTTTTTCTCGCGACCACGCGTGCATGCTGAGCTAGGAAGTGGCGCTAGATTGCTTTCAGGCGTTCATTGATGACTTATCCATGACTCGTCTAGGAAAGCCATGAATCTGAATTGTTTAACACTAGGTTTATGCGTCATTTTCACGTGTTTCGAAACTCACGAGGAGAATTATAGAAACCGTTTACGTTTTAATAAAAATAATCCCTACGAACATTTTAGATTTCATATAAATACCTCACGGTTTCATAATTTCATTTGTAAGCTAACAGTGTACAATTGTGTTGCCTTTTAATTAAGTTGCTCTTGGAAGAAAATGTTTGATTTCGTTCACGTTGAAATATCAGAAATGTCCATAAACCTGGCGTTAATCACGAAATTTTAATTGTCCTTAAGTCGGAGTTTGTATTTATGATGTACCGATGTTAAATTGTAGATAGTATTTATTCCATTTGTTGTAGTAGTAATTAGCAATATTTGTGTGTAACCTGTGCCTTTGGGCCCTTTGTAATTTTGGAAATAAGTAAATAGGTAATAATTTTTGTTGTATTGTCGTAGATGTAATGGCACTCGTGTACGAGTTATGGAAGAATGTATCGACGTGTAAAGTTCACTGTGAATTAGTAGTGTAATATAGTATTACACTCCCACAGAAATACGTCCGACTATTTGTATTATGGCGTATTTACGTCAAAATCAATTAATAATAGTTTGAAATTAATTTTTACCGTACCATTATCGTATGTTGCACGTTAAGATCAGTATTATTAAGACGTCTATGGCTATCGTGATACAAGTTCAGATCACTAGCAAGCGTACATCAACTTCCATTTTAAAATGTTAAAATCAAATCTGAAAAAAGAAATTTAATAAATGGACACAATCTCATATCATAATTTTCATTTAAAAGGCTATCCTGGGATCAGAGTTAACTCCAGTCAGCGAACGTTCGCATACACTTTGCTTTTCTTTCGTAATTATTCTTATGAATCGAGAAAATTTCAGTGTTTTCCCGCAGGTAAGAAGAATAAGGCTCGGTGTATCGTGTAATTTTCCAATTTGTAGTCTTTTTTCGTAATCCGAGAAACTGATTCGATCTTACAGATCTCTTTGTTTCCGGATTGAACAGGCTGGTAGTATTTAAACCGCGACTGTTTCCCAGAATCAGATAATTGTATATTATTTCCCTGCGTGAAAGATAGAAACAACAGCTCGATTCATAACTCGATAGGTATCATTTTGTCTGTTTTATCTGCGAGACTGGTTCTGCTCTTGGAAATTATTCCAGCTGTAGTGTTTCTCTTCCCAGAACAGGATGGCTATTTGTTACATATATTACACTATAATCATTGTATCTGAGCGAAATCGGATTTTAATTCGTCTAATTCGTCTTTAGATCGGTTTAAGTTACATCGATAACCTGATACTTGTGTAATCGTTTGTACAAAGTGTTCTACCTTATGGAAGAGGGATATATGCTTTATTGTTTCTTATGAGATGTAGGTGGATAATAATATTGGCATAAAAGTTGGAAAAAACAATGGGAACCGAATGAAAAAAACGCTCTTTCCGGCCATTCCGATGCTCCCAGTGAATAATTTAATTCCTTTGCTGCTTTAATTGTAATTATTCCTTGCTTCGTACCTTAGCTCACGGAGATGCTTGTACTCCAATATCTTGCATTCGTTTTTTTATATCGTAGAAACAAATTTTTACTGTTGTAAAGATTAATATCACTCTGTAATATTCTGTCCTTTGGAGTTTAAATAATAATTCAATTAAACATTATAAATAATTAAGGTACTAGAGAACTTTTAATAATACTGCTACTAATAGAGTAACATTATAATAATATTATTATCACGTAATATTTGGAATATAAAGATGGAGTATTTGCAAAACTAAAGAATTTAACCAAAATTATTATGACGAGTTGAAAGTCATTATTCAGAGTAAATCACTTGTGGTAATTCTTACCATTGATTTTTTTCCACGTCTAATTCTATTTTTACTAATGAAAAAATAGAAATAACCCTCACCTCGAATATCATCTAATAATTACACCTTGGAATTTCGCATGAATGGGAAAAACTTACGTATTATAGTACAATTTTTCACGAGAATAGCGATTAGCACTCCTGAAAGTACGCGATTAATCACTATTATTGGGAAAAGCACGTAGCGTTCCTTTTCACAGGTGAAACCCCTCGCATAGTCCCCTCCACGTGTCCTTATTATGGGAAAAATAATGTTCAGAAAGAGATCATCGTTATGTTTAATATAATTTCCCACTTTTTTTCTACTTATTTCTTAAAGCGGATGACGAATCCCGGAAGCAGGAAAAATTCGTTCTAAATCGTAAATGTTTCTGGTTATAAGAATAACACTGGTTTAAATGTGTATTAGACGACCATAAGTTTATTCAGAGCAGCATTAATGCAATTTGGACAATTCGTCAAAAGAATTTTCAAATTTTAACAAATTTGAAAGAATATAAATATTAATTTTACCGAAATGATTCGTCTTAATTAGGTGACTTCTTAAAGGATAGGAAGTACGATTAGGTTGATGATTAAACAAATTTTTGAATCACTTACTGTGCACTATCTGAAACAATTTCGATAGATTTCTTAGAACTTGTAACGAAACATAATTTTATGTTAATTAACGCGTCGTTGTTCGATCGATATCGAATCAAAATTAAATTGAAATTTCAGTATTTCAAGAAACGAGGACACAGTGCTTACGTTGAATTTTTCAATAACAAAAGAAAAATATCAGTTCCACCCAATTTATCTTAACCTTTTTTGTAAACGGAATTTTTATCTGCTCCAAACAGAAAAAGAAGAAACATAGCGATTGATAACGTATTTTTTTTTCAATCTAAAACCAAAAAGCTGGTAATTATTATAAATAGATCACTCGATACATCATATATAAATAGACCAGTGTCAGTATTAAATTTTTATCTGGCCCAAAGAAAAAGAAGAGTAGCAATTGATAACATATTTTTTTTAAATCAAAGACCTAAAAGCTGGCAATTATTAAATATAGATCATTCGATGTCAGTGTCAGTATCAGCCATCAATCAGTTAATAAAATGCACAAGTACGGTATAGAGACTGTCACGTATCGAAATTAAAAATTCGTGGATCTATATACAACTTTCGACTCGCACGATGTTCTAGAGGGTTAAGAAAGTCGAATTCGATACAAGATGCGACCTCGAGAGTATCGTCTGGTGATTTTGGAGCTGGACGTAGCGCCGGATCGCCAGCCTGACCTCGCAACCTCCGCTCTTCTTCGCCAGAAGCCTGAGATAATCGGCCAGTCCGCTTCCCCCGTCTCGCGGCCCCGCGACGATTGATGGATAGACCGTGTTACAACACTCCGTACACAACAATAATCCACGCTCAATAATCACGCTCGATTATTGCGCCTTATGTTCGATTACGTAATCCACCGGAGCGCCACGGACTTCTCAGCCGGATCCGGTCGATCGCGAGATTTAGATTTAGATTTGGTAATTTGCAAACGGAAATTGATGAATCGGCCTGGGCTAGTCCGACGTTAGATTAGCACCAGATAGAGTTTAGACGACGTATTCGATGAATAGGTGCAAGGAAACGACCTGGAGAGCTGGTAGGTCTGTCTGTCTTTAGATTGAGTTTAGGGGTGGGGTTGGATGATTGCTAACGAAGGTGTTGCAGGCTTGGCCTAATTGTTTTTGCAAGAGTGGTACGTGGCTTTTAGGTTTACAGACAGTGGGTTGTCTAGGAACGATAGTAGAAAGAAGAAACGAGGATATTGTTGACTTTCAAACCGAATTTGAAGATGAGATGGAGAGATTGGTAATGAAGAGTAAGGTGTCAGATTTGATTTAATTGTTTTTGGAGTGGTAGGGCATATTTCTTGGGTTTTAAGCTATGGGTATTGAAAAGGGAAAATAATTTTGTTCCACGGTGTCTTTTCAGTAAATATACCAATATTTATCTCCAATTGACAGCGTGTAGCAATGCTTACATGACTTAAAAGACATGTCAGTTATAATATCCCATAATAGAGCTACATGGACATTTTTGCTGCGGATGTCGCAATTGTCGATCCACAAATCAGATTTGAGAGAAGCAGGTGGATAGCTGTCAATATAAAGTTAAAAAGTCTAGCTAATTTTTCTCAGAATACTAGTAGACAATCCTCGCTAAACACGTAAAACAATAGAGACTTGGACTTTAACTTTCCACGATCTTTCATAACATCGTTCCAATAATCCGTATCCTTCGTCTACCTTTGAAACGAGGGACCAAAGTCTCTCGTGACAAATAATACGTCGGACTAACTTCGACCAACTTTTTTCTAACACTCGTCTCGACTCAGCATCGGGGAGACAATCACGTGTCATCTCGCGATGTATCCTCGGATCTATCATCCTTCCCCTCTATTGCCAGCAAAGAATAGCCTCCGCGATCGCTTATCCACGGCATAGCAGCATTAGCTTGTGACACATGCTCCCACAGAGCGATACGTTATGAATTCTAACTAGATTCCACGTATACGTTGAGCAGTGGCGGAGATAATTCCAGCGAACGCGCGATACGGTTGCAACTTTGTAGCGAGTTACATAACTATAACCTATGCGACACGAGGAAACAAAGTGTTAGTCGTGTCGCGCAATAAAGAGCAGCAACAAAAAGGTCTTCCATCGACGTCTCTACTCTGCGCGAATCACCGCGAGACATGAGACACACCGACTAACCGATGTCCATTCTTCGTTGCAGATTGAGGATGTCCTCAAAGAGGAAGTCACCACCAACGAAGCTATCGGAGGGCGGGGGCGGCACGGGTACAGTGGCAGGCGCCAACGAGGAGGAGGAGGACACGACCTCGTCGGTGACCGGTGGTCCCGGTGGCGAGGTAGCCGTCGGTGAAGAGGGGCCCACCACCCCCGTCGACATCGAGGAGTGTTACCCTCACCAGAGAGGAGGTGACTGCGAGTCGTCAGGCTGTTCGTCGCCGGCGACCACCAGCGAGCCTGATCTGAGGGACTCGCCCTCCCCTTCGTCGAATTCCTTGCGTACCAGCAAGCGACAGAGGGTCGTGTTGTCCAGCCAGGAGGCCCTGGCCTCCTACCACTACCCCCACCACCACCACCATCACCATCATCATCATCACCATCACCACACGAACACATCGTCCTCGTCGGGTGGTGTCGTGGAACCTGCCAGCTCCTCGGAGTGTGGCTCGCCCCCCACCCCTCTAACCGTAGACCCGTATTACCCTAACCATCCCCATCACAATAATAACAACAACACCGTGACGCAAAATAATAATAACAACAACAACGGCGGCAACGCTACCACCGTGACAAGTAAGAGATCCATGGACGACGTGCTGAAGAGGTTAACCTGCAAGATGAACAGCGAGTCGCTGTCGCTGCAGGATGACACCAGTAATAACAGGCGGAACAGCCCGCCCCCTACGTCCACGCCGACTGGACACAACGCGCACTGGTTAGTGTTCTGGTGATGTAATATTTCTTTGGGTTTTTGGCAAGTTGGTGACGGTACATGCAAGGTGTATTCGGTGCTTGGAAATTCGTGGTACGAATTTAGTAACGAGATGTTTAGTTTCCTCTCTGTGACAACGTTATTCTTGTTATTTCTTTATGAGGTTTAATTTTAATTCATTTATTGGTAAATTTGTTATTTATTCATTCAGAGGAATACTTTGAAAATTCAAATGACAAATTCCAATGAACTACTGTACTTTTACTATATCATTGTGGTGGTACTGAGTAATTTATTTGCACTAACTATTGGTAATTGTAATATTTTTATCGTGAACAATACAAAGGGGTTACTTGAATTCTTTGATATGAGTTTTATATTTTTGTAGTTTGTACCACAAGTTTGCAAGCATCGAATACGTAGGCTACTTTTGCTTATAATAAAGCGATATCAAGAAATTGATTCCTTCTAGGACATTAATTCTGGAAATACAGACTGTCACAAAAATATTTAGACACGTATATATACTTCACAATCTCAGTTTTTCACCACTACCGTGAATATTATGCTCCGTATTAATTATACTAATTATTTATTTAGAACCCAAATAGTATTTGTGCCCGGATATATTTGTAACCGATTTTACATATAGATAGCAATTGAATTTGTAAAAATTGAAACCGTGCACCCGGGTTATCTCTTCACAATTCCTTAATTTAATATCTTTCACACTCGATAGCATTATCTACTATTCTCCAATATTATTCAGTAAATTTCTCTCTGCCCCCTGAAGTCACCCACTACATCTCCCTAACCTACAAAGAAGTCCGCCATCTTGTAAAACGGAACTCGTCCTCTCTGCCTACAAAATGGCTGATAAACAAACTCTACTGAAACCCCTATAGCAGTGTATGCTGCATAGTAGTGGAATAAGTTATACATGTCAGCTCCAAGTAGTCATCACTGGTCTAATGCCTACTCCAATTCTTCGTCACGCTGTATTCCTTTTCCCCGTCATCCGATTGTACGTAACCCATTCGCAGATACGATACATCCAATCGATAATAAGAATTTTCGAGCACTATTTTTATAATCGTTTCACGAAGGTATTTTCTCCAGTCATCTTTTCACAGACGCGCGGAGTAGTCTAAACTTATGCAAATACCATTGGCAGAAAACAGAGCAGTCCCAGCTGTCGCATATCGGCTATTTACAGTTTTCCTTTCTCCGTCTCTGCCGCGATAGTGGGCGACATTAATTAAACGGCGCCAGGAAGTGGCCGGTCGGCCGGGGGGAAATGAGACCGGCACCATTGGCGAGCGTTCCTTCCTGTTTCCCGGATTCGCCGCGCGCGTCGCCCGCCGCGCGACCCGTGGCGCTAGTGTCGCGCGCCGTATTACGCAACGTGTATCTCCTTTTAATTAGCCGATATTGTGTATCCCCGACCGACATCCGCGGCTGGCGGATTCGTTACGGTGTCGCAATCGCCACGCCTTTAATCTGCCGTTGTCTTTCGACAGGCTATCGCGCCTCCAATACGCTTTACATAATCGGTGAATATGGAATAAAAAGAAAGGCGGATGTTGTATATTTTTATATCGATCAGGTTACAGGTCAATTGGTAATTGTTTGATCGTGCTTCTCGAGGTATCGACTTGTTTTTGGAAACATCTTTCGTGGATATCTTTCTTGTTGCAAATGAAATTGACGAAGATCGACCTTTGAGTCTCTTTCTGGTTCCACGTTGAAATGTAGGGTGGCGAATTGGGTTAAGTATAATAAGTTTCCTTTGGTAAATTTTTGTATTTTGTTTTAAAAAATATCAATGTGAATTCTATATCGGTAACATGACTTTTCGTAGTCTCCCTTTCCTCTGCTTCGCGTATGCGTTATAACAGACAATTAAAATACAAGGATTTTTTCAAGGTAATTGTTGGAAAGGAGGTCATTTGATATCGAGAGTTAACATCAAACTCAAACGCCGTTTAAACACCATTTTGGAGTAGATAGAGAGACGTATGGATCTTCCTATTTTTCGAATATTTTCTTTATTTTTTGATATGTATATATATATTTTTGTGGCGTCGAGTGCATATAAAGTGTCAGGCAGAACGTTTGCGTTCGACATTGATTTCCACTTTTGAAGTCTGCGCGTTATACCTTGCTTCTCTATATAACTCTGAAAGAACACTATGCAAACACGCGTGTCATTAAAAGATCAATTATATACTCCATTACCTTAGATAATGCTGAATAAACTTTCGATTTGCGTGGAAGAAAAGTAAGAGGTGCGATTTCATGAATTCGAATCGAATATATTCGAACTTTGTTGAATATCACTTGCTTTTGTAATGATCCATTTCGACTGTATATAGACTTGTGAATATTTCTGCATTTTCTTAAAACGTCAAGTTAAAGCTTAGAATATAAACGTCAACTCGTTTAATTGTGATTTACATTCATATAATGGAATAAAACATTGTTTATGTAATATATCTTCATACCATATATACATATAGTTACGTTATATATAAATATAATATAAAATACTTAAAAATTATTTACACTTGAAATATTTTTTAATATAATATAAAATATATAATTATATAGAATGATGTATTTGCATAACATAATCGAATGTTATATTCCTAAATTAAAATTACTTACAATCATTTGCAATTTTTCACGTGTTTCGCAATTTAAATTCTGCTTAATTATATCAGACTTTTTAAAAATTATAGTATTTATTTAAAAATAAAAATTTCAAATAATAATAGCTGTTGCAAGATACATTTTGTAGAATCGATTTCAATTTCTTTGGCTTCTTACGAGTCAATACTAGTGAAGAATAATTCTGGAGGAATGTAGACATAACAGATCTCTATTTAACATAATCATGCGACACGTCATAAAATTATGCTCGTAAAGTAAGATATAATACAGTGCAAACATCAATTTGCATTTTTATACTTTAATGATACATTGTATCAGAAGAAATAGCCAATAGGAATGATATAACAAGTTCATAAACCAAACAGTAAGTAGGAATAGTAATTCATAAAGCCGCACCTAGATTCGTAGTCGTTTAGAGAATCATGTAACGCGAGATTGATATAACGAACACAATTCCTATTGTATCAATTTTTCTGTATTGCAACTTCGCTGTCACTCGCTTCAAATTAATTTAAGTTTAATAGTATTTCAATTATTAACATTTCTTTTCTGTAGACCTCTCCTTAACCAGAGTTTGGTTAGTAATATTTATTTTACATCCTTACAATTTCTTCACCGTTGTAAGAAAAATGTAGGGTGGGTGATGGAGTGATCCCTGACCAATAGCAGAGGAATCAGTTCGATGGTTCACACAGAGAAGATACCTGTACATTTATTTTGTCAAGGAAACTAGTAATTTTCGTAGCTAGAAAAATAGCAATTAGACGTGCTTCTGCAACGTTTAACGATTATTTTCGTTAGTCAGTCTCGTGGTTAATTTTCACCGATGTCTTTCTGCCTCAGTTACGTGTTATTCTTGAAATGGCTCGACGTGTGATAGGCTCTGTTGTTGATTATGGCAACCGCCACCGGAACTTAAATCGTAAAGCGAAAGTTTAAGACGTAACCTTCTCTTCTAATTATTGGTTCCTCCTACTAATATCGCACTTCACCGTTGAATATTTTTTTTCCAACCAATGACGTCTATTTGTAAAAAGATTTATAAACAAATTCTAAATCCTAGTGTCTTTCATTATTTTCCAATTTTCTAATTTTACTCGTACGATCTTGAAACTTCCCTCTTGCTACATACTTCACGTTAACGTGCATTTATGTCACTGGTTGGAAACAGCAGGCACAAACGTTCGAATACTTGCATGCATGACTGTGAGTAGTTAAGACGTTAGCCGCTGCTGAATTATTGCCATCTATGGGGGCCATTACTGCACGTCGTTGGTAGCGAGCGCACAGTGACGGCCACCATTCTATTCCATTCCTCCGTATCGGTTCCCAGTGAATAACAACGCGAAACACTTAAATATGGCCCCGCGAATGGGCCACAAAAGCAGGCATTGTTCGAGGAACGGCGAGATTCACCGATTCCAGTCGTAAAACGACTCTTCGTTACCGAACGCGAGATCCATCCGTGAAATACAAAGAGGGAACGAGCGTAGAGGAAGTCGTCGGAGGACGCGCGAGGGCCTGGGCAAAAAAACAAGGGGACCACAGTGAGGGAGCCTGAAAATATCCCGACTTCACGGCCACGATGGGGACAAAGAAACGCGTCCGTGACGAGGACGATAAGAAATCGGACGGGTCGACGTTTTATCCTGGACTATGGCCCGTCTTCGTTTCCATTTCGCGAGAATCTAAAAATGTCCGTGGAGGATGAGGTACGTTTTGCTCGTCGCTTTTAATCCTCTGTCAGGCTTTTTTGAATCGGCAGTGACACGTGGCTGTGAAGAACGTGACAAATTTTTGTGTAATTTTCTGCATTTTTCTCCATCGACGAATCTTGAAACATAGTGGAATATTTGTATTTGCATGTACAGGTAACCCTCCTATAACACGGTAGATAGGTTCCCAGAAAATGCCGTGTTGTGTGAAACCGTGTTGTATGAAACCCAGACGCAATACAAAAAGGGTGGTTACGTTCCGAAGATGTACTAAAAACAAATTTTTTTTTAATTCTACATAAACAACTTAATTTTTATTAAAAATGTAAATGTATGTACAACACATAACAGAAAAAAACGAAAATATTGTTTTAATTTAACGCAACTTTAATTTAATACATTTCTTCGTCTTCACTGCTCATGTAGAAGTACAGTGTTGTACAAATGTTTTTGCAATTTTCTTATTGTGTTAGAGCGAAACCGTGTTATAGGATGCCGTGTTGTAGGAGGGTTCCCGCAATTTATGAATCGTGTTATAGTGAAACCGTGTTATAGGATGCCGTGTTGTAGAAGGGCTACCTGTACTTACAATCTTAGCTTAGGAAATGCATGTAC